CTGTTAGGTTGTGCTACATTTGGTAATTCTGTAATGTAGATTGCATATATGCTCTTATTGCCAGGCTAATACAGCAGATCAGCAGGTGCTTATTTAACCATCTGCATCAGGCTTACTTCTCAATTTGTGCATATATGCTTATTGCCATGCAAATACAGCAATTGCCTATAAGATTTAAGTTATTTTACCATCTGCATCAGGATTCTCTTGTTATTTTTGCTTAGTAACCAATGTATGTTAGATGAGTACACATATATTTCTGGATACAATGTTCACCAGTTTCTTCATATTCCATTGTGTTAGCTGATTCTAACCACTTAAAATAGAAAGATTTGAACCATTGTGTTGGACTGTTTGGGATTAGCTGATTTTCGCCAACTGTTAGATCTCTTTAATTTCCAGTGCTAAATTGTCAGAGACTGTTTGTTCTTTTTAAACTTCCAATGGAGTTGGTCTCATTTGCTGTGGATTCTGTTTTATTCTGATGTCTAGAGCAGATTTCATAACATTATAGACTAATGTCTTGCTGTGGGTGTATCATGGCTTTATCTCACCACTTTTTGTATGCTTGCAAACAGTTGCTGTCACGATTCTATGCTCATTTGACATGAAGAGTGATGCCTGTTAGGTTTTGAAACATTTTGTTATACTTGAATGAAGATTCGACCAAGCTGACCTTGGTGCCTGCAAAGTTTAAGTTGTGTCGCCTCACTATATGCATTGTTTCAGGGTTAGCGTTCTGTGTCAATTTCTTGCAATATCTGAGAATCACCTAGCAACCAACCAATTAAACTAGATGAGAACTGGTTCAAAAGCAGAATAAACGTGTCGCATGAATTAGAGGAATAACTTTATTTGTATCTCACACAACCAACAAAAGTTGCGAAGAGACAACATCATAAAGGCTGTGTGTTAATCATGTCTCAACTTGAATTAGTTGGGGAGTGCTAGCAAAGCGAAATGGGTTTGAACCAACTAAAAAAAATAAGCAAGCCGCATAAAACTAGTAGATGGTAATATTGTTCTATCCTTGTGCGTTTTCATATGTTTCTACATATTTACCGTAATCTACTAGTACCTGCATAGATTTTATCAGGAGACTATTAGGCCTGTTGGTAGATTAATAAGTGGTGGTGGACATGGAAAACTATTTTATGGCGGTATTAACGCTAGACTCCAAACCCCAATGGCATGCTTTTTGTGGATCAATTTCTACATTTGCATGTGTATGGTAGAACTTTTTATCAATTATCAAAATGATTGTGTTGGTTTTAAAAAAGAAATATGCAGGCTAAGCAACTCGAAATGCCTTTTAATTTTCTTGTGAATTTATGCTTACTTAGATTCCCCTCATTTATTGCGGCTAATCAACCATTCAAATAATTTAGGGTCAAGTGAATTTTACGTCAAACATGCGCTTTTGACCAGACCTCTCCTAAACTAATTTTTATGAATAATACTGTGACACCATACAAATTGGAGAAAAGGTCCCCTGGCCTCTATTAAGAATTTATGAAATTTCCTGCTTTACTACCGCAATATTTTATACACAATTAGAATCTTGTGATTCAGGTAGAATTGAAGTGGCGAAGAAGATATAGGTGATTTATGTTTCTGTGGCTTCTCTTATGAAGTATGTTGATACCAGGAGAAGCAACTACATAATTTTCTTATCTCTTTACCGTTTACCGATTTTGCAAATTAAACATAAAATTGCTAAAGACAAATAGAGATGAACAATGTAATGCAAATATGTATATAGTGTGGCTCACATCTCAAAACTCATTTCATGGCAAAGACAAATTAGAAATACAAAGGTAAAGCCAATGTAGAAATACAAAGTCGTATTTAAGGGCCAATCGTGCTATTATTGTGGTTGTCACGCAGACACAGTGCCTAAGGCCTATACAAGAAAACAGGTCCTGTGTGCATCATATGACCTTTCTTAAGAACTCTTTAGGTTACAAGTTTAGCCAATTGATATAAACAGTGACCTAGAAAATGGATTATTATTTGCTACCCCCAGACAAAAAAGAGGACTAAAATGAAGACGCTGTCCCTATTTTACCAGCTAATGTAATTACCTGAATTAGTACACTGTGGTAAATGGCGCAAGTCATTTTTGGCCAAAAGCTATAATAGCGAATAAGGGGAGTGTAAACGATAACGACTGACACGTGCCGTATCACTCATAGCCTGCAAGCCAAGAATCGTAACAAACTGAACCGTATATGTACGCACCACTACCAAAAAACTTCTCCCGCCCACGCGCTACTACGTTCACGTTAAACGTACTCTCCTATAGCAACAAATTCCTACTCTCCCACGCGCTAATGTTAATGGCGGACGTCAACCTCTCTTCTTCCCACTTCCATCCTCCATAAACAATGCTGCAGTGACTTAGCTTCAACTTTTATTGCATCCAAATTCGGAGCACAAAATGAGGTATAGCGATTAAAGGAGCATAATAATAATGATAAACAAAGCAAAATACTGATGAAACACCAGCACATGAATCAAAGCTACTTTTGTATTTCCACTTTATAAATCTTCATCATTAACAGAAAACAGAAAACAAGTTGAATTGCAGAAACAGTAACACTACATCTACATTAATGAGAATGACTTAGCACTAGAGACGAACTACTAATCAGATTTTTAAGATGAACAACAGAAACTAGACAGACATATTAGGGAATGAAACAAGTAGTAACTAGGAGAATTAGGTAGGTTGCAAGTTCTGAGTAATTATAACCTCCTGGATTTACGGCCATATTCTTCTCTGCAGTGCAATCAGAATTTCTTCTTCCGCTTATTCTTGCTCTTGCTTTTCTTCTTCTTTTTCTTATCCAGGAAATCTTCAAAATCTTCAGGGTACCACGTATCATCCATCCCATCCAGAATTTTAGAACTAACCATAAAACACAGATAGGGATCCACAGTAGCATATTTTATCTTCTCGGGATTCATAGGATCTCTCCACCAACGCGCCTCCTGGGGGAACCACGCTATCGGCTTTTCAGGCCTGATCACGTCCCAGTATTTTCCCAGAACAGTCATGGATAGACGATTAAGGTCATAATGGCGTAGATCCAAATCATGCCTCTGCAAACCTAGCTCAGCTAAAATATTGATGTCCACAGGGTTAGCAAACTTGATATCAAAGTCAGCATCAAGCCTGTTCATAATACGACGCATTTTCATTCCAATAACCATTACCCTAGGATCAGCGAAGAAGTCTTTCATAGCCTTGGGAATAGGATCATCGTCGTACTTAGGGAAAGGAAGGCGGTAGAGTAAGCAGTGAGAGCCTGTGCAAACCTGAAGGAGGTCGTAGGGATAGTCCTCGCCATCTTTAATCTCCCAGTGGTTCCCACTCATATCGGGATCGCGCTCGACACAGATTGTGACGAAAATAAAACCATGTTTGCTATTTGGAGCCGTATTCTGAACCTCCTTGATCCATTTGGCGACGGTCTTGTAGTTGCCGGTGACAACAGTGAGGATACGATGTTCATCGACGTAGACATTGTATGGATCGTAGATCCACCTTGATTCGCTGTACTTGAGTTCCTTTTCTCTTCTCCTGTTTTCCTTCTTCAGGTCGACGAGAGAGATTTGCAGAACCATTTTTGAGAAAAGCTTGCTCTGCAAGAAAAAATGTACAGAGGGAAAAGTGGAGAAGAGTGTGAGTGATCGAGTGAGTATAAACAGCTATCAACTCTGGCTACTTATAGCTGTTTCAGAGGGGCAATTTCGGGACGTTCTCAAAATTTGATTACTTGGGCGATACTCTCAAATTTAATTTAGTAGTAATTTTTTTTATGTATATATTGATAGTGTAAGAAAGTTTTACGAGCATTAACTAGACGTAGCAGTTTTGTCACTTTATATTTCAAGTTAGTTAATATGAAAAGTTACGTCACTTGTAATATGTTATAGAGAATGTTATATCCCTCTATATTTCAAAGTTATACCTTATAATACTTGTTTATGAAAGTTGAAAAGTTATTCATGGTTGGAAGTTGGAACTTAGATCATGTCAACTTAATTTCAACTGTGTAAAAAATCTATAATTAGTGCACGGAAATTTAGCAACTTAAACAAATTTTTTATTTTGCTTTAAAATGTAAAGTTAATACACATAGAAAATTTGATTAGTTGAGATTTAGTTTTTCTAAGAAATAAAAACCCAATGCACATATTTCTTTTTAGATATTTGTGATGAGCAATAATTAGTGTACGGTGATTGTAATATAATTAATTAAGTGTATCTGTTTAAAGGTGCCTTTCCAAATAATACTGTCAGATACTCATTTTTTTTTTTTAAAATGTCAATATCTAATTTAACTAGTTACTATTAATTAAAAAAAAAAGAAGAGAAAGAAGAGTTGAACGAAATTAATACTAATATAGGAGTATATCATTTAGTTCACTTACGCAGTTACGCTATCGTATCCTACTTGATGAACATAGATAGATTGTTTTCGCTTCATATATAAAAATAAATATGCAAAGCAAATCTGCAAACAATGAAAAAGAAAATAAATGATAACGCCAAAAAAAATACGATAATTGATGCAAATGAAACATCAAATAATATTAAAGATTAAAATAATAGGAGCATAATAATAACATTTATACTAAAAATGAAACTAGACAATGTTCGACCTACTAACTTTCTCTTGTAATTCTTTACCCTCATATTTTTTCTTCAGGCCTACCTAACATCATGTCTTCGATAGTTTGCAAATTAATTGTGTCTTATTAAATTACATCTCTTCGAAACTTCTTCGATCTACCTCTACCTCTTCTAACTTCCTCTTTCGATTGAAAACATCGATACAAAGGTATCCAAGTGAAAAGGTAGAATTGATTTCTCTATAACTTAACTATGAAAATTGTGTAGATAAGATAAGCTTAGTATATACACAATTTTGAGCAAACAACTCTTTAAAGAGATGCACAAAAAGAAAAGAAGCGTCACATTTCGTGAAACGAAAGAAGCAAATATCCGATTGACTAAAAAAAATTAATTAAATAAAAATATTGAATCCGTGGTGGTCCAAATCACACATCCAGAGGCGTGGTTGCCTATCTTTTCGTCCTTCGCTCTCCGCCAAATGTCTGCAACCTCCGCCATACCTGCTTCAACTACCATGTCCGCCGCTGCAACTTCTGCTTCCGCCTCCTCCTCCGCTCACATACTCAGACTCAATCACAAGCAGCTCATTGTTTCGCTTCATGGCAGAAGAAAGTCAATTAGTGCATCATCCTCCTCCTTCTTCAGCACATACCGATTCAACTCCAGCATTTCTAGATCCTCCCGGAGAATCTCTTATCCTTCTTCCATCAGGATTAGACCGCTCTCTCCTGTCATGGAATGGCAAGATGTCACGTACGTTAGCATCTTCTTTTATATCCAATTACTTGTTTACAGCTTAGATTTTTGTTCGATTTTGTGATTTACTTGCCAAATATGTGGTTATTGAGTACTATTTGTAATCTAATTGTGAGAATTTTCGATTTTTGATGAATTCAGAGTCAAAATGGAAGTAGATGTGCCCATTTCAGTTGCTTATAAGTGCTATTCTGATCGTGAGGCCATTCCTGAATGGATGCCTTTTATTTCAACTGTAAAGGTACGCAATGGCATGTTATCTGCGCGTTTGAGCTTATAAGGTTTCAAATGTTCTCAATTATAAGTATTACCTTCTCTTTGCAAATAAACTGTTAAGATAGCACAGCTGTTTGAATGGTCTGATTGGCTGCCTTTTCGGAATGATGCATCTCAGTATTACTCCATCGCTCATTTTATATGACCTTGTTTGATTGGATGCAAAATTTAAGTACCATTAGTAAACTGGTTGTCGGGGAAGAAAAAGTTTAACTAATGATCGGAAGTCTTGAAGTATACAGTTAGAAATGAGTCTGCTAGAGAATACTCTTTTAAGTCTAAAACAAATGAAATGACATTCTTGAGTATTATTAGGGGAATGATGTTACACATTTTGGGGACTTCTAAAATGGGAAGAGTGTCATATAGATTGAACGGAGGAAATACTACCGTTTCTCTTTGCAATTTCTTCCCAGGATGTTATCAAGTATTTTTGCCATATTGCTGGGTAGTGTACAGTTGCCCTGCATCCTGAATTACTTCTTGGCTATCTCTTCATCTGTCTCATTGTGTGCTTAACTTAATGAGTACCATTGGTGGTTTTTTGATTTGCACATTGGATATCAAGAAACCGCTCACCAAAAACAATTGAAGTCGAATGCAGATGTATTGACAATTAGGGGTCTACATTCTAGTTCTTGATTATTTCAGACGTCCATTACACAGCTCAGCTCACCTTCTGAATCTCATTCTAAGGGAACTTGATGTTAGACTCTCTTGCCAGATTTTGGAGGATAAGCCTGACTTATCAAGATGGTCGCTGAAGTATGAAGCTTTCGGGCAGAATATTGAATATTCATGGCTTGCTCGAAATATGCAGGTAAAATCTCCCTTCAGTAAGCTCTTCCCTGATTATATTCCTTTGTTCCTAAACATCAGCTACTCAGTTTTTATTAATGTTTTACAGCCTACGCCAAACCAGAAGATCCACTGGAGATCTCTGGAGGGACTTCCTAACAGGTAGTGTGCATATTAGTTTCTTTTTGGTTGATTCTAAACAGAACATATAACTGTGAACTGTATCATTATACTGGAAGTCTTAAAGAGTTGTTTGAATTATAATGTTTTCTGATAAATTCTATATTTCTTTGAACGAAAGATCTATTGAAACTAGTCATCAGTTTTATGATGAATTCCTTATTCAAATTGCAGGGGAGCTGTGCGATTTTTTCCCAAAGGCCCATCATCCTGTATCATAGAAGTGAGAATTTTACTTAAAGCATAACTTGGTCCTTTTCCTTTAGACTTCAACTGATCTTTATTAAGCATTAATTTCTACAACAAATACAGGAAGGGGAAGAAAAATGTTTTTGCACCCTTTGACAAAAATTGCTATATTTTTTTTATTTTTGACTGCTCAAAATTGACTAGTGCTTCTCCTTTTTTCAGCTAACAGTTTCATATGAAGTGCCTCAACTTTTGGTTCCAGTGGCATCAGTAAGCATTCTTACTCCTATATGAGAAACTGTAATTCACATCAACTTTTAGAAGTATGCAATCCTCTCAACCTTGCTTGGGTATAAAATCATCTCAAATAATGAGATTGCAGATTTATTATGATAGCAGAGTATAATTTTCAAGTTTCACTTTTTTCATCTATTGTCCAGGCATTGAAACCATTTCTTGAAAACCTGCTGTCGCAAGGATTGGAACGCTTTGCAACATTTGCTAGGAGCTACTCAGCTGACACACCTAAATGATGTATAAACTAAATTCATGCCATTAGCATCCATTGGTTGTATAGCGTGCAATAATCTTCTGGCTGCACTCTATGGCTTGTCACCTAGGAGCAAGCAGTCTTAATTCTTATCATGGTCTTACAGATCATCTAGCTGCATGGTCATTCAGTTTATAGCTCGAGTAAAATTGCAGACTTCTCCTCATTCATATCATATTGCAGTGCACTGAACTCAATAGGTAGTCCAAGAAATCCTTCCTCATGGATAAAGAGACACCAATTTTTTCTTTGACTGGGCAACTTCGTGTGCTTCTGCCTTCACATAAACGTTGTAGGTGTACCTATTTCAGCTGATTCAACTACTAGCATGCTTATAGTCAAGAGATGTGCGAAGATGTAGGGCATAATAACTCATGAGCTCAAAGACGCAGGTTACATTGTCAATGTAAATTGTTATTACATATTAGGAGAAAGAACCGAATTAGCTCTTCAACAACTGCGAAGGGAAAGTATGGAGTAGGAATACCAGTTTGTTGTTTAATGAGAATGGCAAAGGACCGCGTATTCTGCAGTAAGTCGTCCTAGTTAAAATCCATTTTGCTGGCACCATCAACAAGGAATAGGCCTGTTGCAATCTAGTTATTACAAGGAGCAAAAAGTACCAAATGTTCATTATGTACATTTAATAAAACGAGTAACATAAGCTCGGCCATATGCTACTCAAACTTTGAAGCCACATGATAGCATACTCCCTCCGTCCCTATTTAGTTGTCCACTTTAGAAATGACACACATATTAAGGCAACAATGATTAGCATAGTGAAGTTACAATTTTGCCCTTATTAATTATGATTCCAAAATAAATTTATTCAAGATAACTAATCAATGTTGGGGGAAGTTTAAATTTTCAAGAAGTTTAAATGAGGGTGTAATAGGAATTTTTTTTTTTGTCCTTTCTTGATTTGTCAAAATGGACAAGTAAATAGGGACATCTAAAAGAGGAAATATGGACAAGTAAATAGGGACGGAGGGAGTATTATTTATTGTTAGATTGCCTTCGGAAGCAAGGGAATTAATAATATTGTTTCTCAAAATATTTTTTATTTATTTTTAAAGTGCATCTACAATAATCATTAAAGACAAAGCTATCTTTTTATTCAGTTCTTTAATAAAAAAAAATCTAACACGACTAGAATATAAAAAACGTTGAGTCCATGGTGGTCCAAATCAGAAATCCAGTGGCCTAATTGCCATATGGCATGCCTATCCTTTCGTCCTCCACTCTCCTCCAAATGTCTCCGACCGCCGTCGTACCTTCTTCAGTAAACATGTCCGCAGCTGCAACTTCTGCTTCTGCCTCCCACATATTCAATCACAATCATCAGCTCATTGTTTCGCTAAATGGCAGAAGAAAGTCAATTAATGCATCCTCCTCCTCTTTCATCGGCTCATACCGACTCAACTGCAGCATCTCTAGATCCTCCCGGAGGATCTCTTATCCTTCTCCCATCAGGATCAGACCGCTCTCTCCTGTCATGGAATGGCAAGATTGCACGTAAGTTAACATCTTCTTTTATATCTAATTACTTGTTCAGAGCTGAGATTTTGGTTTGACTTGTGATTTACTTGCCAAATATGTGGTGGTTGGGTGCTATTTTGGTCTATTTGCAATCTAATTGTGAGAATTTTCGATTTATGATGAATTCAGGATCAAAATGGAAGTAGATGTGCCCATTTCAGTTGCTTATAAGTGCTATTCTGATCGTGAGGCCATTCCTGAATGGATGCCTTTTATTTCAACGGTAAAGGTACGCAATGCCATGTTATCTCTGCATTAGAGCTTAGCCGAAGAGTCATTTCAAATGTACTCAATTATATTACCTTCTCTTTGCAATTAAACTATTAAGACTGCAAGACTGTTGGTTTAAGTATGATGCTATTGGCTGTTTTTCTGGAATGATGCATTTCTGATTTCAGTATTACTCCATTGCTCATTTTATATGACCTTGTTTGACTGGATGCAAAATTTAAGTACCGGTAGCAAACTAGTAGTCGAGAAAGAAAATGTTGAGAGTAATGAATCGAAGCGTTAAAAGTAATATAGTTAGATATTAGTATGCTAGAAAAAACTCTTGATGTTGAAGTCTAAAATTAAGTGAAATCAATCAAAATTCTTGAATATCATTAGGGGAATGATACACATTTTGGTAACTTCTAAAATGGGAAGAGTGTCGTATAAATTGAACGGAGGAAATATTACCTTCTCTCTTTATAATTTCTTCCCAGGATATGTTATTAAGTATTTTACCCATATTGCTGGGTAGTATGCGGGTGTCTTGCATCCTGGATTACTTCTCTTTGTCGTCTTGACTATCTCTTCATCTGTCTCATTGCGTGCTTCACTTAATGAGTATCATTATCAGATTTTTGATTTGCACTTTGGATATAAAGAAACCAATCACCAAAAACAATTGAAGTTGAATGCAGATGTATTGACAATTAGGGGTCTACGTTCTTGTTCTTGATTATTTCAGACATCCATTACACAGCTCATCTCACCATCAGAATTTCATTCTAAGTCTCTTGCCAGATTTTGGAGGATAAGCCTGACTTATCAAGATGGTCGCTGAAGTATAAAGCTTTCGGGCAGAACATTGAATATTCATGGCTTGCTCGAAATATGCAGGTAAAATACCCCTTTCGTTAAGCACTTCCCTCATTATGTTTCTTTGATCCTAAACCTCAGCTACTCAATGTTTTAATCTGTTTTACAGCCTACGCCAAATCAGAAGATCCACTGGAGATCTCTGGAGGGACTTCCTAACAGGTAGTGTACATCCTAGTTTCTTTTTGGTTAATACTAAACATAACATATAACTGTGCACTGTATCATTGTACTGTAAGTCATAAAAGAGTTTTTTCTTCCACCAGACAAATAGGCCATAGATAATAAAACCATGTTGCTTTGGTACTGGTGGCAGAATATTTCTGGTCTAATATCTCAGTGAGACTGTTGGCAACAACAAAATAGCTTGAAATATAATGTTTTCTGATCAATCCTATGAAACAAAAGATACATTTATTCTCAGTATATTGGAACAAGTTATCAGTTTTATGATGAATTCCTTATTCAAATTGCAGGGGAGCTGTGCGATTTTTCCCCAAAGGCCCATCATCCTGCATCATAGAAGTGAGAATTTTACTTGAAACATAATTTTGTCCTTTCCTTTTGACTTCAACTTATCTCTATTCAACATTAATTGTTACAACAAATACTTCTGGGATAATCTTGGACGATCCTATGCAGGTAGGGGTAAAAATTGTTTGCACCTTTCCTTCTCCTAGTTTCTTATAGGCAATCATACAATTGAGAATGTGTTGACAGAAATTGCTATATCGTTTTGGTTTTTGACTGCTCAAAATTGACTAGTGCTTCTCCTCATTTCAGCTAACATTTTCATATGAAGTGCCTCAACTGTTGGTTCCAGTGGCATCAGTAAGCACTCTTAACTCCTATATTAGAAACTGGAATTCACATGCTTGGGCATAAAATCTTTTTCAAACAACGAGATTGCAGATTTCTTATAATAGCAGAAACTCTGATTTTCAAGCTTCACTTTATAATATATTTTTTCACCTTTTCAAATATTGTCTAGGCATTGAAACCATTTACTGAAAACCTGCTGACACAAGGGTTGGAACGCTTTGCAACATTTGCTAAGAGTTACTCAGCTGGCACACCTAAATGATGTATAAACTAATTCATGCCAGTAACATCCATTGGTCCTATATCATGCAATAATCATCTAGCTGCAATGTATGGCTTGTCAGCTAGGAGCAAGCAGTTTTAATTCTTATCATGGTCTTACAGATCATCTAGCTGCATGGTCATTCACTGTTTATTGCTCGAGTATAATTGCAGACTTCTAGTCTTGATTGCTCCCCATTCATATCGTATTGCAGTGCACTGAACTCAATAGGTTGTTCAAAAAACCCTTCCTCACATCGATAAAGAGACGCCAGTATTTTCTTTGATTGGGCAACTTCGACTGTGCTGCTGCCTTTATATAGCATTATGCTCATCAATGGAAGTTTTGCTTTCGTTATTATATGAACATGAAAATTACAAATGTACTATTCGAATATTCAAGATGTGTTAAAAAGTGTTGAAAAACTTGTTTTACTAATCACCATAAAAAATATGCAACAAAAACTCATGAATTGAAACATCTCACTCATCTCATTCATTAATATCACTTTTTTTAATTGTCCAATTTTGGCTTTTAACTTGTCATTTTTGACAAATCAAGAAAAGACAATTTTTTTTACTTATTATAAACTCAATTTATTTAGAAAGTTAATGTTTTTGAAAAAGATAAAACTTCTTTAATGAATAAATTAAATTTGGAATTCTATCAATTACTCCCTCCCTTCACTTTTACTTGTTAGTTGTCATAGTTTGATTTGGGACCCCATTAAAAAAAATAATTAATGATATATAATGATATATGTATTTTACCAAACTAACATTTATTAAATAATATTTTGAAAAATAATTTGGAAAATAAGTATTTAATATTGATGGTAAAACACGAAAAAATAGTCTTTTTTCGATAGGTCAAAAGTGACAAGTAAAAATTAAAATATATTTTAGGAATAAATGACAAGTAAAAGTAAATGGAGGGACCAATTAGAATAAAATGATAAACTCGTTATGTCAATTATTATTTTAAAAAGATAGACAAGTAAATAGGGTTCAAAGGAGTACAATAAATTAAATGATTTTCTCCATATAAACAAAAGTACAATACATATTCGACCATAATATTATTTTTAAAATTATTCCCGTATGGCCGTTATACTACTGGTAATAAATAAAAAAACATGGAATCCGTGGTGGTCCAAATCAGAAATCCAGTGGCCTAATTGCCATATGGCATGCATGCCTATCTTTTCGTCCAAATGTCTGCAACCGCCGTCGTACCTGTTTCAACTACCATATCCGCCGCTGAAACTTCTGCTTCCGCCTCCCACATACTCAAATCTCAATCACAATCATCAGCTCATTGTTTCACTTAATGGAAGAAGAAGAAAGTCAATTAGCGCATCCTCTTCCTCCTTCATCAGCGCATACCGATTCAACTGCAGCATCTCTAGATCCTTCCGGAGGATCTCTTATCCTTCTCCCATCAGGATTAGACCGCTCTCTCCTGTCATGGAATGGCAAGATTGCACGTAAGTTGCCATCTTCTTTTGTATTCAAATACTTGTTTAGAGCTGAGATTTTTGTTCGATTTTGTGATTTACTTGACAAATATGTGGTGGTTGAGTTCTATTTTGGATTACTATTTGCAATCTAACTGTGAGAAATTTCGATTTATGATGAACTCAGGATCAAAATGAAAGTAGATATGCCCATTTCAGTTGCTTATAAGTGTTATTCTGATAGTGAGGCCATTCCTGAATGGATGCCTTTTATTTCAACTGTAAAGGTACGCAATGCCATGTTATCTCTGCATTTAAGCTTAGCCGAAGAGTCATTTCAAATGTACTCAATTAAATAACCTTGTCTTTGCAATTAAACTATTAAGACTGCACGACTGTTTGTTTAAGTATGGTGTTATTGGCTGTTTTATCCGGAATGATGCATTTCAAGTATTACTCCATTGCTCATTTTATATGACCTTGTTTGATTGGATGCAAATTTTAAGTACCAGTAGTGAACTAGTAGTCGAGAAAGGAAATATTAACAGTAATGAATGGAAGTGTTAAAAGTAATATAGTTATAGACATTATCCTGCTAGAACAAATCTAAATTAAGTGAAACGAATCAAAATTCTTGAATATTATTAGGGGAATGATGTTACACATTTTAGGAACTTCTAAAATGGGAAGAGTGTCATATAAATTGAACGGAGGAAATATTATCTTCTCTCTTTACAATTTCTTCCCAGGATGTTATTAAGTATTTTCCCCATATTGCTGGGTAGTAAGTATGCTGGTGTCCTGCATCCTGAATTACTTCTCTTTGTCATCTTGACTATCTCTTCATCTGTCTCAATGCGAGCTTCACTTAATGAGTATCATTGTCAGATTTTTGATTTGCACTTTGGATATAAAGAAACCACTCACCAAAAACAATTGAAGTTGAATGCAGATGTATTAACAATTAGGGGTCTACATTCTAGTTCTTGATTATTTTAGACATCCATTACACAGGTCATCTTACCTTCTGAATCTCATTCTAAGGGAACTTGATGTTAGACTCTCTTGCCTGATTTTGGAGGATAAACCTAACTTATCAAGATGGTCATTGAAGTATAAAGCTTTCGGGCAGAACATTGAATATTCAGGGCTTGCTCGAAATATGCAGGTAAAATACCCCTTTAGTTAAGCAATTCGCTCATTATGTTTATTTGATCCTAAACTCAGTTTTTATTCTGTTTTACAGCCTACGCCAAACCAGAAGATCCACTGGAGATATCAGGAGGGACTTCCCCACAGGTAGTGTGCATCCTAGTTTCGTTTTGGTTGATTCTAAACAGAACATATAACTGTGGAAGTCATAAAGAGTTTTTCTTCCATCAGACCAATAGGCCATAGATGATAAAATCATGTTGCTTTGGTGCTATTGGCAGAATATTTCTGGTCTAGTATCTCAGTGAGGCAGTTGGCAACAACAAAATAGCTTGAAATATAATGTTTTCTGATGAATTCCATGAACAAAAGATCATTTATTCTCAGTATATTGAAACAAGTCATCAGTTTTATGATGCATTCCTTATTCAAATTGCAGGGGAGCTGTGCGATTTTTCCTCAAAGGCCCATCATCCTGCATCAGTGAAGTAAGAATTTTACTTGAAACATAACTTTGTCCTTTTCCTTTTGACTTCAACTTATCTTTATTAAACATTAATGTTTACAACAAATACTTTGGGATAATCTTGGAAGATCCATATGCAGGAAGGGGTAAAAACTGTTTTGCTCCTTTTCTTCTCCTAGTTTCTTATAGGCAACCACATAATTGAGAATGTGTTGACGGAAATTGCTATATCGTTTTGGTCTTTGACTACTCAAAGTTGACTAATGCGAAGTCCTTTTTTCCAGCTAACATTAGTTGGTTCCAGTGGCATCAGTAAGCACTCTTAACTCCGATATTAGAAACTGTAATTCACATTAGTTTTTAGAAGTATGCAATCATCTCAACCTTGCTTGGGTTTATCATCTCAAATAATGAGATTGCAGATTTATTATGATAGCAGAGAGTATGATTTTCAATTTTCACTTTATAATACATCTCCACTTTTTCATCTATTGTCCAGGCATTGAAACCATTTCTTGAAAACCTGTTGGCAGAAGGGTTGGAACGCTCTGCAACATTTGCTAAGAGCTACTCAGCTGACACACCTAAATGATGTATAAACTAAACCCATGCCAGTAAATCAGTAATGGCTCACTCTTCCTCACTTTTAATGTTAGGGGAAGAAGCGGAAAAAATTGTACAATTATGGGGGACGGACTTTTAAAGGTGCAAAAGATCAACTGTAACTTCTTAGATATTGTACAGAATATAAAACCATTAAGAAATTAACTGTATTTGAAGAGCCAAAGCAGTAGTAAGGCCATTTGAAGCTCACTCATGTTGGGAGAGAACTCCAAGAGTCGCTATAACATCCATTGGTCCTATGACGTGCAATGATCATCTCGCTGCAATCTATGGCTAGGAGATAGCGGTTAAACTCACTTCACTAGCACCATAAATAAGGAGTAGACTTGTTGCAAACACGGACATACGCTAACAGCCATAATGAACTAAAAGTCAGTGTAGCCATAGTGAACTATTTTTCTATGGTAAGAACCTCTGTTTTTGGTCAAGAAATCTGCTTCAGTATCTCTTCAGCCTCAAAGATTAAGTCTCTCAAACAGGCCATGACCGTTTTAAGAGTGGTGTGTTTCCTCTTAAGCCTCTCTGCATCATTGAGAAAGCTTTGCTTTGCATGAATAACAGTTCATTCTTTATTTTTTCAAACTGTTGTCTGTGTTGACTTAGAAATCTGCTTTCCTCATTGAGAACATTTAGAAGTTTCTCCAAGAATACAGTTACCACTGCATCCACCATTTCTTCTGCTTCAAATTTCTGAAATGCGGCCCAATGAAATTGGCTCGCCTGATAAAACCAAAGAAACAAATTATTGTTACGGGGCAAGAGTGCGGAGGGACTCAAGGATATACAGTTGATTTCGCATTGCCATTTTCATAAACAGCAAACAGCTTCTCTACCCCACAAATGTGGTGATAACATCCGGCTACATACTAACCTCCCCAGACACCACTTAAGGGTGCAGTGCTTCACTCTTAATCTAGCACTTCCAACTCCTGGGTATGAAGAAAATTCTATTGAAGGGTCACCTTCAAATGAACATGCAGTGCGTGATTCGAATTTAATTGGAGCTCTTGACGCATCCGAGAGGGAAGAAGTCAGTATACTAATAACACCTTCAAGACACCCCCAACAATAAGGAAGATAATTATTGATTTAAGAGTTACTCAAGATCATCTGGGTAAAAGATTAAACTCTCATGTAATTCGATAGTTTTAAATTAAAAATTTGTCTTCTTCTAGCTAGTTTAGATATATAGAAAATCATTAAACACAATTTTGTAATCTACTGAATATTTGTCTTTAATCTAATAAGATAAATAATTATTTAAAAAAAAAGAAAAGATACCTTTAGTTATGTCGAGGATAGATATTATCACTACTAATTAACTACATTAATACACGATACCAATACAGTCATTTTCAGAAGCAGTAAACACAAATAAGTCTTTAAGATAATTATGTTAGGTTCGGAATATGCAAATCATCATCATTAGGAGTAACATAATAATAAGGAAACATTACTTTAGGATTGTACTATGATATACCTCATTTATTCGAAAATGCTATATTAAGAAAATATTTACAATTGTGATGTGCCGGTTATTATGTATGATGTGCCGGTAAAGGTGGAGACCATATTTTTGGTAGATTTTGTGATTCTAAACTGTGAGGTGGACTTTGAAGTTCAATCATATTGAGCCAGCCATTCTTAGCCACTGGAAAAGCTTTTATATAAAGAATGGTGAACTAAAGTTCCAGTTAAATAATGAAGAAGTAATCTTTAATATATGTTGGTCAACGAAGTAGCTAAGCGATATGGATCTGATATCCGTTATTGGTGTGATTGACGAAACTTAGTTTGAAATTTCTATTAAGGGGCAATTTTCGGTAGAAACTTTGACTATAATTATTATGAACTTTATGTAGGAAATATAGAAGGAGAATACTATCTTTAGAGAATGTTAAAGTTTTATATAGGCTACTTAAGGCCCCCCCACCCCCCGGACCTCGAGGCGCCATGCCCCGAGG